CCTGCCACCACCTTCCGCCACAGCTCCATTGGTCTAATGGTCTATGTCATGGACTTTCATGTGGGAGATCAGGGTTCAAAACTCAGCTAACGCACCTTAAACAAAAAATCTATCTCTTCAAACTTCATATTGTCACACAATTACCTTAATTACAAACACCTGCTGACTTGACAAGCACAAGCTGGTATAGCAAACACATTTGTACTTCGTCAAAGTTCATTCTGCAAGTCCAATGCTGCAGGCAAAGGCAATGCACACTTGTTTTTACATCGTAAAAACCCATGTCTAGTTATTATTGCATTTTGAATGCTTAGTTTTAGTTTAGTTTAGTTTTTATTAGTTCTAGTATTAGTTTTTTTATAGTTTGAACAAACATATTTGACAACGCATCTTCCAGCTTGTGATGTTCCTGTGAGTTAACTAAGCAACAGCTATTTGGTCACTAAAGCAGTCCACTGAAGCGACACCTTCCTAAAATAATTGTGTAACTCAGTTTTGCCAACTAAAAACTTGGGAGATTATTTTAGAACGATGACAATAGTGATCTCCAACCCAGTGCTACTTGTTGCTTGTTTTTCACGGGMCTGTGAGAAGCTAACTTGTCAACACTAAAACTAGGGGTAGTTTAGTTCGTTTTGTAAAAAAATATTATAGTTTTAGTTAGTTATTGTTTTTTTTTTTTCATTTAATTACAGTTTTTATTTATTTTAGTTAACTAAAATATATATATTTTTAATTTCAGTTTTTGTTAGTTAGTTAGTATTAGTTAACTAACTGGTCTGTGGCACTGAAAAACAGGATCAGCAGAAAAAAAATTAAAAAAACTAAAAAGTTGTGGTTATGCAGGAATAAAAGCAGGAGAAGTAGGCTGTTTTAGAATATGTACCAAGATGTTATTCTTGGATCTGGACATCTGCTCAACAAGTAAGTGAAACGCCAACAGTGAGCTCTGCAGTAACCAGAGGAGGCTGCAGGTCTTTTTTTTTTTTTATTTCTCTCGGAGTGAAAGCTGTTTGATGCAGATGCTCGCTGTGGGTGGCGTGCAGATGCCTCATCTACATATTTATTTGTGCAGCAGAAAAAAAATTGATTCTATATCCTGAATTATTATTGTTCTTTTTAACTTTTATTCTTTGAGTAAGAATGCAGTGAGGTTCTGAGAATAAACCTACCTTTTGTTGAACCTAATTGATCTGATTAAGCTCTGATTTTTCTGTTTTGGCAAAAAAAAAAAAAAGCACCATAAAATTGAAAATCCATCAAATTTTAATATTTTCCACGAGATAGTTAATTTTGTTTTGATTTAGGCTTTTGCAATCTATTTTTTTGTTGTTGTATTTGAAATGAGAATGTAGTATTGTAGTGTTCGGTGTAAGCTGGGTTGGTTTTGTTGCATGAAAAAGGCATGTGCAGGGTTTTGTGCAAGCTCATGGTTTATACATCAGGCCTGTGGGCTTCTTTTAGTGGATTCTGGAGGAGAGCGAGGACATGTAACATGATTTTTGGGTTCAGGGATGCTGCTGAGGAGGGAAACAGCGTTTTGAGACAAAAAATAAAAATAAAAAAAAGAACCGTAAACTCCGGTTTTGTCAAAGACTTTAACGAGAAAACGTCTGATTTATTTTTGATTTCTAACCAAACTGTAACCCGTTTACCAAACAGATGTAGATATTTTCAGAATCAGAGAGGAACACGCTGAGAAGAAAAACAGTTGTAAAATACACTGAGGTTTTCAGGAATCTGTGTGTTTCATGCCTTTACAAAGCAGCCGTAGCGTAATGGGGAAATGTGAGCCTTAAACATCGTATCATCCGTGCCTCTGCTCCGAGCTGGAGCGCACAGCAGAGATAGAGAGCAGACAAAGCCCGAGGACTGTAAAACACTGAAGACGCTCTCTCTCCCTCCCTGACTCCTCCTCAGGTTTTCATCATGCAGCCCGCTCGCTGTCTCTTTAGGCTTTCCGCAGAAAGTTTGCACTGCAGAGGCTGTCTGTCTCAATATGTCAGTTTAAAACTCAACGAAGTCATGGAAACTCATTATTCTGAAAAAGTCTGTGGAACGGCTCTGCACTTCGATTGGCTGCCTCACTTGTGCGAGGAATTTTGAAAGCTTACCATATAAGAACAAAACTGTTTTTTTTTTTTTGAAAATCTGACAGGCTAAATATGTACAATATGTTTTTAAGAAAACCTGCAACCTAGTGAGTGATGAGTGGATCGATACTGAAACATTGGGACTCCTGATAGGAGAACTTTATGCTTTAAAATTGATACTAAAATCAAAACATGGACACTTTAATGCTTCAGTCATTTCAGGTAATACACATCAATGATAGGAACACAAACTATTGAAATCTTGTCTAAATCATTAGCACTGGGAAGGAACTACTTTTTCTTCCGCCTGGACGTGATCAGTCAGTACGTTACATGTTCAGTATTTTCATGTTAACATGTTCATGTAACATACATTAAGATGCAAATTTCCTTTTTTATAGTAGTAGTGAGAACTAAGCTATATATTTTTAATGGTTTTATTATTTTAATTAATTTTTTATTGTTTAAAACATCATTTTCACACAAAAAGAAAAAAATTGTATAGGTCTTCTGGACGGGTTCTTCTCTAATGAAACGTTTCGTCTCTCCTCCAAGAGACTTCTTCAGTCTGAGAGTTTCAGGCAAAATTCAGGCTTTTAAGCCCTGCCTCCATGTGACTGATACTCACATCACATGGCTATCGTTGACACCTAATTAACACTTATTGTTAACAGGGAAAYGTTTCTTTAGAGAAGAACCCGTCCAGAAGACCTATACAATTTTTTTCTTTTAGATTTTTTACCTGGTTTACTGAGATGCATCAGGACATCGTTTTCACACATTTTTTATGATTGTTTGTTTTTTCTATCGTATATTAGCTCAGCTGTATTATAATTAAGGATGCTATTAATACACAGTATTTATGAATTTAAAACTGATAAAGAAATTACTCTAGTTCCTTGTATTCTTTATGAAGCTATGATTTGAAATTCACAACTTTTTTTAGATTTATCTGACACATCAGTACACTCTAAAATTTTACTTGGTAAGATTTTTGAAATAGTTGATTTGACTCAAATTTTTCTTATTTCAAGAGAAAACCTTACCAAGTAAAATGTTCTTACTCCATTGGCAGAAATTTTTTGACTTAATTCGAGTCAAATTTTCAGACTAACAAGACAAACAGTCTTACACATTCTGAAAACAAGATGATTATTCTTACACAATCAGTTCTTGTTTAGTAAATCAGTCTCAAAACAAGATCAAAATGACTTTTTGGCTGGATATAAGATTTTAAAACTTGGTTAGGTGGACAGTTTTTGCAGTGTTAAAGGTTTTTGGACTCATTGTGTTCAAACATAAAGAGTAAAACTTTCTCTTGGTCCTCAAATAACAAGCGCTGAATGAAATTTCCCACATTTCCCCCGAAAGTGACAGAAGAAGTCTACGTTTTCACTTCTGGATTCGTATCGAGGCAGGAATCGATGGACTCGGCTTCGTAAAATATCTCAAAGAAGCAGAAACTCGAACCTCTGGGTCTGAAGTTCACTGTCTGTCAGTCTCTGTGAAGCTCTGTAACGAGCACACCTCATCTTGTTTGTTTAGTGTGTTAACAAACAGGTGTGGTGTAAAAATAGGTTCTTCATTTGTGGAGGTCTGGAAACTGGCGCCMAGCCAGTCCAGCTGCCTCCTGCTGTTTTCACTATTTATGCCAAGTCAAACTAATTGTCTCTCTGCTTCGAGCKCTGCGCTTTTAAAACACGCCGAAGATCTGGATTCTCATCTGCCTCGTGGCAAGAAAACAAACAGGACAAATTGTTCCTTTAAGGTTTGGAAAGTAGTTTAGCTCCGCTCGCTGTAATGAAGCTCAAATAACACATTGGCAGGAGATTTAAACCTGAAACCAAACATATATTGTAGTTTTAAGAACACAAGCACTTCAGATGGACCCTTACAATCACAATAAAGACTTCTTCAGCAAAGCAAAAATAAATTTTCCACCCACCCTGAGTGCTTTCAGCTTTTATGGCCCTGCTGTCTGAAGCTATTTAACACAAGAACCCAGGCCTGATAGGAAAGGGAAGTAGCTTAAAGTTAAATTAAAGGTCTAGATCTGCTTGAAGGAATGCATATCACCCGCCAGCTTTCAGGTCAGACACTTAAACTCTCATCTTGTGTTGAGACGGGACAGAGTTAGGGCTGTTAGGTCAAAATGCTGTTACACATGAGCTCATGCAGTGTTGTAAAATCTCCTGTCGGCGCTCAGAATTAATGTTTAAAATGATTTTCAGCTACTTTCACACATTTTAGCTCAGTATCTGCAGTTACCTGAGTTACATTTTTTATTTTTCAATTTTTCTTTTAACAAGATTTACTTTGTCTCAAATTTTGTACATAATTATTCAAAGCTATTCTCATCTTTGCTTCTAATTCATGTTAACAAACCTGYTTTTGTACCAGTTTTATCTTAAGTTTTATAATTTGTGTTTATTTTGGATCTTATTTGTTGAGTTGCCTGGTGCCTGAAATACTCGAGCCAATTAGCAGCAACCTGTCAGTATCTAGTGAATGTAGTTACTGGACCATATTCAGGCTGCTGTTGAAGACTGATTATCTTTCAGTGAAAAGATGCTGGTTAAATTTGAACTAAATGTTTCAGGGTGTATTCACACCTGACACATTTGGTCCACTTTAAATGGACCAGAGTTTGTTTCCCCTCCGTTGGTTCGGACCTAACTTGGTAAAAACCAGCCCCTTGTTCTACAGTTTGCTTCGTACAGACGGTCTGGACTCTCAGCTATTGAGAAGCAATTTCTTTCTGGAGGCGTGGCCTCTGTTGAAGTTTAAAATGATTGGATCKTATTTRCCCGATTGCTAACGTTTGGCTGTGAYGTATGTAGTGCGCCAGCTCGACCGTGAAGGAAGCTAACATATTTAGTGTTTTTCCTCACTTTTTTCCTCACATTGATATACAGTACGTCTCTTCTATAGCTTAGATCACAGCTTTTGGCAAACTTGAAATAGGCAAATTACTGTATGTGATGATGTCATYGAGTGAMTTCTAGTGGATTTTAGGACAACCAATAGTTACTCTTCTTACTGAGGAGTTGGCAGCACTGAARGCWAGGGCAGGTTAGTTTGGACCTTCTATGCAGGTGTGAATACACTCGTGAACCCTGGTGTGGACCACACAACCGGTCCGAGATCCACTTTGTGAGGTGGTCTTGGTCCACTTTCAAACAAACTCTGGTTCTGTTTGCTTCTGGCGTGAGTCCAGACCGGTCCAACATGTTCTCACTCCCGACACGTCACCATTTGACGCTTGGTCAGGTACTGTCTGCGTCCAGTTTTGTCGTGTTGGGTAACCCCCTCGTGTCAGTTATTCACACCCACGGCTTTTCAGGGTTGCACCACATAAGGGTCTTTGGGTTGGTGGTCTGTGGTTAATAAGAGGGATCAGGATTAATGGTTAATTTTAGGTACTGAGGTCAAGGATAGGATGTCTAGGGCTAATAGAAGTTCAATTTAGRGTCTGGGCAGCCGGTTTGGATGTTATCAATCCATTAAATGGACATTATTAGTAGTTATCAGTCCCGTAAAATGGCTTTAGACTGTCCCAACTGTGCCCCCTAGTGGGTTACCAGTACCATATATGTTGGAATGCAACAATCTGCTACCGCCGGAGTCTGGTCTACTTTATCGTAGCGCATGTCATTTTCTCTAAAATTAACCTTAGTGGTTTTATGCCACGTATTAACCAGATTGCATAAAAAACCTTAGTTGTTTTATGCCTCATATTAACCAGCTGACAGTCTGAAGCCATTCTATGGGACGGAGAACCCACTAGGTGGCACAGTCGGAACAGTCTGAAGCTAGTCTGAAGTCATTCTATGGGACTGATAATGGCTAATAATGGCCATTTAATGGATGATAACATCCAAAGTGGGTGGTCTGGGATGGTTAGTTGTGCATTTCCTACTCTTTTCAAAAATATTACAACGCGCTCCGCCTCCTCCGTCTCATTTCATGAATAACTGACCCGAGGGGGTACCCGACGCATCCAAAACTGGACGCAAACGGTACCTGACCAAGCGTCAATATGTGACGAGTTGAGATTGAGACTGGGTTGACCAGTCTCGACCCAAACCAACTACAGGAAACTTTGTGGTTTTGGTCTGTACGGGTCACTGTTGCCAAGCATCATGCTAACCCTTAGCGCCTCAGTGTTGCTAATGCTACCTCTACATGGACGCCACAAACTACGAGCCGCGGAGACACTGTGCTTCCTCCATATTTGGACAGATGCACACCTAACTCWTCAGCTAGAGAAGACACTCAAGAAATGTGGTTATGTTTTTCATGTTTGGCTAGAAAATGAAGGAGCAGGGGTTCGAGCGGCCTCAAGAACAGTGCCGCATTAAAGTGAAAAAAAACTTTTCCAAATTTATCAAAAGGCACAAGAGATACTGAACAAGGTTCTAGATCCCACCCACATCATTTCTGTCCAATAGGAGCAATGATCATCAYCTGCATGGCTTTGTTTACAGAYAAAAGCGCAATGTGAATGCAAACATCAGTGGTGGGCAGCACTAATCTAAATATTAGTTGCACTAACCCCAAAGCACTAACTCAGTTATTTAGGTCCCCTAATTCRAAWGCACTAACCTACTGAAAACTTAGCAAAAGCTAATTCTAAAGCACAAATATAATCCAGATGACACATGAAACATTCTTCAGACAACATGAGACAATATTTACTGTGTGCAGAATGTTGTGACTTAGTGCCCTTGGCAGGCCAAAYGGGAGTCACCCGCAGGCCACATTTGGCCCGCGGGCCTCGAGTTTGACATGTGACCTTGTAGRWAAGTGATGCATATGAACAAAATGTGACAGCGTTCACCYTCAMCTGTGAACAAWAATGTTGATCAATAAGATTTAAAGACCTCAGTTAGTGCTTCTAAATTTAGCCCATAAATTTAGCAAGTGCTAATCCACTAATGAATTAAAAAAATAGCAAAAGCCCTAAAGCACTAATCAAGAAATTAGTTCTRTTATTGCTTTAGTGCTTTAGGGGAACTGTGCCCACCACTGGCAAACATGAAAAAAGTCCACTTTTGGTCCGGACCAAAACAAGCAAACCAAAGGACTTCATGGTTTGAATACACACTTATTATCTTTGGGCAATCAAACCTCAACTTTAAACCATAAATTTGTCCCTGGTCTGTGATTGTAGAGGAAAAAATGCTTCTAATGTAACAAATTAAATATGTGTGAGTATAAATGTTTGTGGATAAGAACGAAAGAGAAAAACACTAAAGCTTTGCAGCAGATCTTAAAGTAAGTGTGTAAAAAGTTGCAGCGTTTCATTGTGTTTTCTCTCTTGTGTGTTTTGCCTCTAAGCTGAACCCATTTCCTCCGCTTCATTTACTGTTTGGGTTCTCTCAGAAGCTAACAGCCCCGCCCCACGTCTTTTGTCTCCTCGCAGCGATCGGCCGGACGTTGATACCCCGTTATTTCAGCACGGTGTTCGAGGGCGGCGTCACCGAGCTCCACTACATCCTCAAGCACTCCAAGGAGTCCTTCCACAACTCCTGCATCACCCTGGACTGCGATCAGTGCACCATGGTCACCCAGCACGGGAAGCCCATGTTTACAAAGGTAACACCTGACCCCCGAGCTTCTCCCTCCGTAAATAATTGATCACAGGCTATGATAATGGCCCGATGAGGTGTTAGGCCAGTTAAAGATCAAACACATTTAAACACTTTGATTCTTCTCCTCCATGCCACCCCCTCACCACCACCCTTTGTCTTTGTTTTTTTAAATCATACCTGACAGTTTTATTACCATACATGGAAAGGTGCTTGTGTCCTCATGAATAAAGCACGAAACCCAGAGTGACCATTTCAATTTGTATACATTTTAAAATGTCTATTCTTGTTCTGTAAAAGAGTGACTCTTTATCTACGACACTAATGCAAGAGTGTGTAACATTCTGGTTAACCAGGTCGGCTCTAAATCAAAACGACTGAGGTAATAAATTTGTTGCGCTGCTCGATAAGTTTGGTCTAATTGTACAAATTGTTGCTTTTTTTCTACTCTTACCAAATAAATCTCATCATTCAGTCCTGTTAAATTAGGACTTGCAGTTCAATGCATGTAAATTCATCAGCTGATGTGTTATTAGCTGGATATTAGATTTTGTGTTGTAAAGCTGCACACTTGCATTGATGTTCCTCGCTTATCAAAAGGTCACCCTCCTCCTAGACCTCCAAATCCAGCGGAGTTTCTCATGTTAAAGATACGAGGCGATCCTTGAGTCTGCAGCAGCTCGGGAGGCATTGCTTTCAGGATAAGAGTGAGATGTCTGTAGATTGTCGTGATGCGCAGATGAAAGGAGTAAAAGTGGAGAAATGCTAATCGCGCAGGTACGAAAATCCAAACTTGACACAAAAGTCCTCTGAAAGCAGGAACGCTGAGCTCATCGGGCTTTTGTCTTGGGGGACAGAATCCCTCCGCGAGGCGAGATGAATATCTCCGCAGCCTGATCCAGATGGCTCGCTGACTCTGAGGGTTCTTCTGCTGACTGTCTGAATGAATCCCAGGCCAGATACCTTGTCAGCGCCGAGCAGGCGAGCTAAAGGGATTCCATGTTCTCTGTAGCATGAACCCTGAGCCGAGGCGCCGGACCAGATTGTTCTGACATTAAACGACTGCACACCCTCTTGTATTTTTTTTTTCGGGGGGGGGGCTCCGCAGTGTGTGCTCATGCTTGGGTTTTGGGTGCGTAGCAGAGTATGAAAATTACATTTTTTGGGTGACCTGCCAAAGGGCGTGAAGCTACAGCATGAAGACAGAACTGAGATAAAGTTTTGTAGATTTTTTGCATTATGTTTCTTGATAATGTCACATTTTTGACGTTCCAGTATATGTGCCGAAATGTTACACAGGGGCGGAGCCAGAGGGGTGGCACCTGATTGGCCATCCCAGGTGCCAATTCTGTAACTGACAAGTGGGTGTGGATCTTGAATTTTGTATTTATCTATGATACTACTGTACTATTTACTTTTATTAGCTTTGTGTGCTCAAAAATGGCTGAAAAATGGCTGTGAAATTTTGGGATTAGCATCAGCAGTGTTATATGAAGTACCACAAAGTGATGCTTGAGTAAAAGTACAAGTACCTTACTAAAAAATGACTTTAGTAAAAGTTAAAGTCTCCTTTAGGAATATTACTTGAGTAAAAGTCTTA